GCTCTCTTGCCTGGACCAGCCATGGACTGAGGTTGGGTCCTGTTCAGCCTGCCCCTAGGCTAGGCCGAGGCCTGGGGGTGGGAGTTGGCTGAGCTGCTGAAGGAGAAGCCTCCTTGAGAGTTTGCAGTCAGAAGAATGCCTGTAAGAATGGAAGAGCCAGGACCCGTGTGGGCTTTTGAAGTGCCTGATATTCAGAGGGACTTCTGAGTGGGGTCAGTGTTCTTCCAAGGATTGTGGAGATGTACTTCACGAAGACAAGATTTGGTGAGTCTGGAGTTCTGGAGGCCGGTGCACCTAGACCCTATACCCTCTCTCCCTAATTAGAAGTAAATAAACTGTTTAACCAGCATCTCACAACTGGAGCGGACTTCAATTTATGGGCACAAGAAGAGGGCGGTTAAAGCTAATGGGGCAGTTGGTGATCTATCCCTAGACTGACTAGATATGGACCTGTTCATCCAGCGGCTCCTTCGGGGGTGAGCGCTACACAAAGTTAAAACAATTTTTTCATTTCAAAGCTCTGCGCTACCTCCTCTAGACCTCCTGCCCCAGACACTGGCCCACAGTTGCCATTATGATCAATATAGCTTGATGTCTATCAACAACAACTGATCATTAACTTGACCATAGATATGGAGGTGAAGAAATCAGAACAGACAGCTCACCCTCCATGTGAGCAACTGATCATAAAGTTACCAACAAAAAAACAAAGTCTCTGGTATACAAGCACACCACTTAAAAGGAAAGCTGTGTAACCATTTATTCAGCATTTAAAGGGCAATCCTATTCCACTGCGGTGTATTTTCTTATCCTTGATGTGTACTATTTTTTAGAATTTGCTCCACTGTTATAACTTTTCATCTCGGACCCTGTGTTGTCACCCTCTAGACAATGATGAGTGCGCTCTTCCCAATGATATCAGTGCTTCATGGATCCCGCCATGTCAACATATCTGCCACAACTATATAGGAGGCTACTTCTGCTCATGTCTGCCGGGGTACAAACTGCAGAGTGACAAGAGAACTTGCAAAGGTACGTCTTATATCAGTGATGTACAGTTATGTTTAGGCAAGATTCCAAGTGTCAGTGTGCCATTGTTCTGGAACCCCAAGTGTCAGTGTGCCATTGTTCTGGAACCCCAAGTGTCAGTGAGCCATTGTTCTGGAAACCCAAGTGTCATTGAGCCATTGTTCTGCGACCCCAAGTGTCAGTATGTCATTGTTCTGGAACCCCAACTGTCAGTGTGTCATTGTTCTGGGACCCCAAGTGTCCGTAAGCCATTATTCTGGAACCCCAGGTGTTAGTGAGCCATTGTTCTGGAACCTCAAGTGTCAGTGTTTCATTTTTCTGGGACCCCAAGTGTCAGTGTGTCATTGTTCTGGGACCCCAAGTGTCCGTAAGCCATTATTCTGGAACCCCAGGTGTTAGTGAACCATTGTTCTGGAACCTCAAGTGTCAGTGTTTCATTGTTCTGGGACCCCAAGTGTCAGTGTGTCATTGTTCTGGGACCCTAAGTGTCAGTGTGTCATTGTTCTGGGACCCCAAGTGTCAGTGAACCATTGTTCTGGAACCCCAATGTCAGTCACCCATTGTTCTGGAACCCCAAGTGTCAGTGTGTCATTATTGTGGGACCCCAAGTGTCAGTGAGTCATTGTTCTGGGACCCCAAGTGTCAGCGAGTCATTGTTCTGGGACCCCAAGTGTCAGCGAGTCATTGTTCTGGGCCCCAAATGACCTCAATTATCTGTATGATATTGTATCCCAAAAAATTATGATTCTCAATAGAATATCTATATCCAACAATAAACAGACGTCTCACCCACAGCCTGTCTGACTAAATTCTAGAATAAACCAACATGTCACTGTGAGGACATGTGACAGAAATATTTGATAAAGATAATAGATGCACATCTCTGTGGCTCCTCTTTCAGTGGATTGTAGCAGTCAGCTGTTCATGGAGGAATTTGGGTATATCTCCAGCCCGGGATACCCCAAGCCATACCCTGCAGACCTCAACTGCAACTACAGCATCCGAGTAGAAGAAGGGTTCCACATCTCCCTCACCTTCATAGAAACTTTTGACATAGACTATCATCCGCGGGCTCCATGTCCTTACGACACATTGAAGGTAAAGCTATTATTATTTCCATCTTTGTATTCCAGTATTACAGACTAGGGATGCCCCAATACCACTTTTTCAGCCCCACGTACAAGTACTTCCCCTCATGCATTGGCCGATACCAATTACCGATACTTTTTCTTAAAGGGACAGGTGACTTTAAATGACCAATAGTACAACTACATGTTATGTACTATGGATCATGATTTAACCTATTCATGTTAGCAGTGGAGAATTGTTAATCTATTGCTGTAGTGTAGTGGAGCTGTGTGCTGTATACATGTACTACATATACATTACACATGTCCAGTACACTATAGCAATAGATTTACAGCCAGCCCCGTCCCAGCTTCCCTCACTCACAGTTTCACTCCGATCCCTGTTGCCTCACGAGGTGCCTCTTGTAGTCGGCGCTGGGCAGGATCGCTGCATCGCGTCTCGGTGCTCAGCTTGTGGAAGGCGCTCACAATTCTGCCCTGCTAACATGAATGGGTTAAATCATGATCCATAGTACATAATAGTACATAACATGTAGTTGTACTATGGATCATTTAACCCATTCATGTTAGCAGGGGATCATTGTAAATCTATTGCTGCAATGTACGGGACATTTGTGCTGTATATGTACAGTACATGTAGACTGCACTGCAGCAATAGATATACAATTCTGCACTGCTAACATGAATGGGTTAAATGATCCGTAGTACAGGGCTACATATCATGTACTATGGATCATTTAACCAATTCATATTAGCAGGGGTTAATTGTAAATTAATTGTTGCAGTGCATTCTTTATGTAGTATATAGTACATGTACATATAGAGTGCACTGCAACAATAGATTTACAATTATCCTCTGCTAACAGGAATGGATTAAATGATCCCTAGTACAGGGCTACATACAGATCATTTATTCCATTCATGTTAGCAGAGTATAATTGTAAATGTATTGTCTGCACTGTATTAGCAGCGTGTACTCTATATGTACTCTATATGTAGTACATATAGAGTATATACTGCTAATGCAGTGCAGACAATACATTTACAATTATACTCTGCTTAATAGTGAACCCCCAATCTGCCCTCACTCACTGTGTTCGAACACCGGAGAGAGCAGTGACGAGTCAGCGCTGGTCCACGGGAGAAGCTCCAGGTGGGGTTCTAATTCAGCTGGCTCAGAGGTGCCGGCCAGCTAAATTAGAACCCCAGCTGGAGCTCCTCTCGCCGGATTAGCGCTGACTCGCCGCTGCTGGGTTTTTTTTTTCTTACTTACCTCGCCGAGCATCGCGGGTGAC